TACGTTGTTCCTACTGTTGCTGCATTCCTGCTCCTTTCAGGAACCTCGAACGATGTGTAAGCTCACGCAAAACATCAATACCGTAGCAGTGAAAGCAGAATGAAAGACTAAGCGCAAGTCTCTGACGCTCCATGCTCTGCAAAACTTCGGTTGAACCTGAAAGAAAAGTCTGCAAGATACGATTGGCCAATATCTGTATAGACTTTATGTGACTTTATTTCGTTCTTTTGGACGGCTTTATCATACAGTCTTCGGACAAGTGCCGCCTCCATGCATCGAACTCCACTGTAGGAAAAATTACAACGACAGACAGAACAGCGCCTGTTCGTCAGCTCGACTAAGAGCTCTACCATGTGTCGATATCAAGGATCCAAAGCTTTCAGATAAGATTGATTACAACGATTCAATGCATCCCTACTCCATCCCTCTCACTTTCTTCACTCTCCCTTCTCCTCCTGTCTTCCTCTTTTCACTCGACAACAAACAGAACTGAAGCAAAAACCAGTAAGGATGCAGCAGCTTGAATAAGGCAATCCGCATCCTTCCTCAAGACACAAAGCAATGGAGCAGACTGAGAAGCAGCAGTATACAAATCCACAGGAGAAAAAGAGAGCTTCGCAGCTGTCTCCAGAAGCTGAATCGACACATCTCTAGCTTCAGATATCGACTCTACTTTACAGTCAGTCAGTCATGTGAAAGATTCAAAGCTTGAGTATGCACTGATGCTTTGACAACGCATCCTTGCTGCATCCATCCCTCACACTTTCGTCACCCTCTCTTCTCCCCTTGTCTTCTTCGCATCATTCACTTGACAAAAGACGGAACTGAACCAAAAATCAGTGAATATGCAACGCGCTTATTCACCGTGAATCCTCCCCCAAAAACCCCTTCCCCCCACCGACAATCTGCAAGTTGAAACCCTGGGAGTACTGACTAAGAGCAGCACAGATGCAGAGAGAGAAGCAGACATGCAAGGTGTCATGCCTCTCACTGGTTTTTTGAGAGGCAGAAGCAGAATGTAGACAACGACGAAAAACATGTGTATGCCACTCTCTCCTCCTCATTCACGCAGTCATTCCCCCTCCCTCAACC